ATTTAGAAGTAATTTTTAGTAAGAATATTATAAAATAAGCCCAATAAATCCACCCCAATAGTTTGGCACATGCAGTATTATTTGGGATTGTGTCTAAATTATGTTTATGGCATGCAAACTACAAGCTCATCAGACTTGAGTTAGCCAGGTCTTTTGAGACTCTTTGAGATCAAAACTGAATGTTAACATTTTAGGATTTAAATAGGAAAAAATGCATAGTTAAACATACCAACTCAAACATACAAGGTTGTGGGGAAAGTAGAAGTATATATATGCCATCTTAGAATATGTGAAACTTAAGAACGATCTGCTTATGTATACAGGTGAACAAAAGGCCAAGATATAGTCAATGCAAGTTTTGGAGGGAAATTATCTGAGAACCTGGGAGATATCCTCACAGGTGAAGGACATCCTTGATTTAAGAATGCTCTGTGAGCATAGACTGTCCCTGATTTTTAATGCTGTTCTTTGCTCCCCTCTTTCCATGCATTACATGAGCCAAAAGAAAAGCAAATACAGGAAGCCATATTTCGTTGCTTAGCAAAATGGTGAATTGCATATCAGCTTTGTCGGGTGGGTTATATTTAGTCCATTCAATAAAAGGGCATTTTCCCTCACTGTAGCAAAAGAACAAAAACACATAATTATTGTCACCCAGGTAACACTACTGAAGATGAATACAGACATAGTTAATCCATTTACCACACAACTGTTGCAGTTCTATCTCAAACACAGATCTGTTCTGTCTGGATCCCAGCAGCAGTCTTGAGTTTTCCGCTGTGTGCGTGATTTTCAGAGAACTGTGTCTCTTGCCAAGCAGATATCCCTCAGCAGTGGGAAGTGGCTTGTGACTGCCAGACGACAGCGTGTGACGCAAGAAAGCACACATAGAAAGCAAGCTGCTGAAACAGACTGTTTGTGCTAGGAGGGTTTCTCTTGATGCTTGCAAAAGCTTTGTGCTCCTTTGATCACCATCTTCATCAAATAAATACATTTATGGGGGCATTTCTTTTTCTTTTTGCCACTTCCTACTTGGAGTATTGGATTCAGACGAATCTCAGAACAAGAACCAAAGCAGGCCATTTGGGACAGATACAAGTCTTATCTGAGCCAAAGCAGAATTTCCGAAAACACCAATTCAGAGTCTGAACTGAATCATGTTGATGCCCACCATCTCCTACAGTGTATTTGAACTTCCAATAGCAGCAGACTCCCCTTTTCTCAACTGGACCCCCATTCTTTTCCCATAAGAGGAAGATCAGAGGTGATAAACCTGTTGCCTCCCAGGTATTGCTGAAGGTACAGCTCCCACCATGCTTGACCATTGACCATGGTTCTCCCCCCCCCCATCACTGGAGCCCCCACCCCTCAGAATGTCATTGGCAATGTTGGCTGAGGTGGCACAGAGTCAGAGTTCAATGACTTCTGGAGGGCTATACTTTACCCAACTCCTGCTTTTAGCTTTTACTCCTAAAGATAACTTTAGCGAGTTCAAAATGTTGAGATAGAAGAGCTTTTGGTCATTAATTGCCCTGCAATGAAAGTGCTTTAAAGTTCCTTGCGCCAAAATAGTAGCAAAAGTAAAGTCTCTTTGATCTCCTGTTTCATCCGGCTCCTCTGGAATCTAAATTTTAATTATTCAGAACTTGTCATTCTGTTTTTGAAATAGGCCTTCAAAGCTATTAATTTGTATTTAAAATACGATTCTAATGTGTCTCTATTTTGGGCCTCAAATAAGTGGCGAGTTTGCGCTGAATCTGTTGAGAGATCAATGACTCAGGACTTTGCAGTATGCGGCCGTGAAAGCTATAATTACATACAATTTTCTTGATGTATCTACTTTATGTGATTCCTTCCCTCCTACACTGGTCTTGGGGAACCTCAGTCAATCCATAAAGCCTTTTCACTGCACAGCAATCACTGCCACAACCCGCTGTTGTTCAATAATAACTCACTACATAGCTTTTAAAATTTTAAAAAGTTAAAAATACTGGTATGTAAGAGCTGCTAGTCAACCATCCAGCTTCTATTTAAAACTTCTGAGAAATGGCATTGATTTTAGTCCTCAGCAGATTAAAATATTGTGTCAGATTATTCAAACTGACCATAATAATTTTCATCACAGGGCAGTCTTGACAAGACTGTCGATTTTTCAATTAGTTTCTCACCCAAGACAAAGGTATCTCCCACACCTTTTCCACTGGCAGTTCATGGCAATATTACCTAATTCAATTCTGGCTGAACAGAGAATTCCATTTCTTATTGAGGATGACTGTATGGATTCCCAACTAATGTGCTAATATGCAGCCTTCCCTGGTACAGTTTGCATAACTTGGTCATGGTTGTGAGGCAAGGTAAGGTGCTTAGCTTCAGCTTGTTGGGGGACTCCAGTATGACAGCCATGGTGTGGTAGTAGTGGGATGCACGTCAATAACAAGAAGTCCAATGACATTATCAGCAATGGGAGAAAAATGGGAAATGGGATAGTTGTACCAGGCTTGATTATGTCCATTTGAAAAGTAGTGGAATGCTTTTAAAGAAGCAGAATGGCATCCCATCCTACTTCAAGCACTCTTTCTCTGTTTCCCCTCTCTTTATATATTTTGATTTCTCTTATCATAATAATAGCACTGCTGCTAGTATAATTAATCAAATGATTTCATGCAAAGTTGCACCTCTTTGTTGACTCCAGCAAACCAAACTGTAAAGTTGCAAAGCCAAAAAAACCCCATAGCTGGATCCAGAGGCAAGTGGTGCACATTTTTTCCAAAACTGAATCAAAGCCAAAGGCACTGAGCTTAAACATAACAAATGAGTCACAGAGAAGAAGAAACAAACAGCAAGGGGGGGGGAGTTGCAAAGATTATATTTTACAGTCAAACATAAGAAACAAAATGCTAATCTCACAAAAAATGTATTTTAGTTTCCGCCCCTACCTTGTATCAACATCTTAAAAGTTTTCCATATAAATTATTGATTTTAAACCGGAAGTTAACACTTTTTCAACAGCTAGGAAATTATAATTGTACTGGTTTTCAATAGAAAACGCATTACTGTACGGTGGTACCTCGGGTTACAGACGCTTCAGGTTACAGACTCCACTAACCCAGAAATAGTACCTCAGGTTAAGAACTTTACCTCAGGATGAGAACAGAAATCACGCGGCGGCGGCGGGAGGCCCCATTAGCTAAAGTGGTGCTTCAGGTTAAGAACAGTTTCAGGTTAAGAATGGACCTCCAGAATCAATTAAGTACTTAACCCGAGGTACCACTGTACTGTGTGTGGCAGTGCCTCATATAAATGTTATTAACAAAAAAACTGGAAGCACATAGAACTCTGCAGTTCCGAAAGGGCACAGAGTATAGCATGCGTTGAGTTGGGATTGATAAATGGAAAGGGTACTGTGGTGCATGTATAAACATGTGGGTGTAGGCATTTGTCATACACATATATATGTGATGTCTGTGACATATATGCTGGAGGATACAGAAGCAGTTAGGCTTTTAGTGCAATTACTGGAGCTCAGACAATAATTTGTTTCGGAGTACTGCCAATTAGTAAATCTACTATGCATGAGCAGTGGTAAGTAGGCTGTGTGGGCAGATTTAATAAAAATATAAGATACAAATCAGAGAATCCCATTTATATCATAGCAAATGCTCGCTTGCCATTGGTGAGAAAGAACTGGCCCTATATGAACAGGAAAAGAAGTTTATATAAATTGGATGAAAATGTGCTCATGTTCTCCCTTGACCATCATTGCTATACAGAGGATTTTTTTATTCTGTTGTGGACTTTTGTAGGTGTCTTTATGGTAGCTGGTTTAAGAAAAAAGTGGGGTATAAATTCTAAAATGCATTAAGAAATCTGTAGGGAATAACATTAGAATGACTTTGCTGGATCATACCACAGATCCATTCGGACCAGCTCACCATCATCACAGAGTAATATTGCAACAGAACAAGATAACTATTCCCCAGTGACTGGTAACTGGAAGTGTACATACCAGGGCTAACAGACATTGACAAGTAGGAATTGCAACAAAATGTTGCAGTTTTTATTCTCTCTAATTTTTTTATTCTAGTTTTTTTCTGTAATCCTACAAACATTGCCCCCACCCCCAGCCTACTGATACCTTCCTCTTTTGCATGGGTAGTGCTGTTTTGGCCAGATAACAATCCAGAACCTGAAGAATGAATTAGCTTTCTGTGTGTTTTGGTCTCTATAAATTTCTTCCGTGTGCACGTCCTTTTGCGGTCACAGTAACTTTGCTATGTACCTCTTTTGATGCCCAACTGTCATGGGCAAGCATCTCATCGTTTTCACACGTGCCTCTCCTAACTGAGATGTGCATTTAAGTGAGAAGCGAAGCCCACTGCGAGAATTATTCCTCCAGCTGGTCGTGGCTGCTTGTGTCCCGGTGTGGCCATTTTAGGCATCTTTATAGCGATTATGCAGAAGCTGGAGACTTGCCCCTCTTTGCTGTCGTGCCCACGGAAAGGGTCCAGAAGGGCTTGGGGCCTCTCTACTGGGAAGAGGAAACCGCTGCTGAACAAATCTTAAACCACAAAAGCGCCTTGAATAACTGACAGCAGCTTTCGTCGAGCCACGGCCTTTCTTATGAGGCGGGGGCTCCACCCCACCAGAGCTACTGAAGGCGCCAGCAATCTGTCAAAGTCTTTTCAAGGTGGGGCGCGCGTGCCACAAAGCTCGCTCCCCCCACCCCCATTTTATTTTTTTACATGTTTGCTTCAGCGCGTAGGAAGACGGGCGGGCGGGCTTTGGGGCAGGGAGGCTGGGGTTGGGAAGCCCCTCACCGAGGGCGCCTCTCGCGCGCAGCTTTCCTCCTCCTGCCTCTCAGGGAGGCGGGCAATCGCGCGCGGGCGCAGAAAGCGTCGCACGTGGGCGGTTCGCCCGTGGTTCCTCCTTCTCCCCCCTCGCCCACCCCGCACCAGGCTCGGCCTACGGGGGCAGGTGGCTCCTTGCGCGCGCCGTCCCCGCTCCCTCCCTCCCTCTGCTCGCTGGGCGGCGTGTGCGGGTGCCTTTAAATTGCTTTCGCGGGAGCTGCCGCCTGCTCAGTCTCATCTGTGATGTAAGAAGAGACTTTTAGGTGTCTGCGCCGATCGCCTGACTTTCTTTTCTTCTTTTCCCCCTTCCCTCCTGCCGCCGGTTCTCCCGCTCGCTCTCTGTGCCGCTGTCCTTGGCCGCCCTGCTGCTGAGGCGGATTTGCAAAGCCGCTGGGTCCAGCCCGCCAGGAGCTGCGCTGTCCTGGGCGCAGAGGGCGCGCGACTGACTGCCCGGCTCCTCGCTCAGCCGCCGCGGGTGCGCAGGCATGGAGGAGCAGCCGGAGTGCAGGGTGCTCTCCATCCAGAGCCATGTCGTGCGCGGCTACGTGGGCAACAAGGCTGCCACTTTCCCCCTGCAGGTAGGTGCGCGGGTGTGCGTGTGCATGTGCATGTGTGCGTGCGTGTCAGAGAAGAGACAGAGGGCAAGCCGGAGGGACACAACCGAGCAGGCGGCGGCGGCGGCAGGTGGCTCCTCCTGCCGTCTCCAAGGCTGCCTGAGGCGCGCAGCCCGGGAAAGCAAATCCCGGCGAGGTTGTGGCTCCAGCGTCCGCGGAGGGCGCCTAGGACACTCGTCGGGCGGCCTGGCTGGAGGCAGAGACTTGCCGTTCCCAGTCCAGAGGGAGCTGTGGGGCTTAGGCGTGTAGTGATTCTTTCCCGCTCCACCTCGGTCTCTCTAGGCGAGGCTCTGCCAAGGAAGCCCCTCCTGACACAAGCCCCAGCCTGTGCATCAGGAGAGGAGGAGAGAGAGGGCGGAGAAAGCGCCCCTTCTTCGGGGTTGGGGTGTTTTTGGGGCGGAAGGGAGATACTGTACAGTGCATATATATATATATATATTTAAGGAGCGGCTGCCTTCAGGCAAGTTCCTAACCGCAGCAGCGCCTGCCAAGTAGGGCGAGGGTCAGAGAAATATGCCGAGAGAAAAACAAAACGAAGACGTGTCAGATTCTAAGCTCTGGGGAACGATGGCAAGTGTCAGCGGTGGCGAGGTTGCTTGGCCATGACACGTCCTTCCCATTAAAAAAATAAAATGTTTTCATTTGGGTATCTTAAAAGGCTTTCCAGGGTCGGTCCTGCAGCTTCCCTGAACGCCATGAGTGATCCTCCAAAGAGCCACTGCTTTAAAAACACAGAATCAAGTATGTTAAAATTCCGAATCTGGCTCTTTTCCTTCTGTTGTTGTTGGCTTGTCTATGTTAACAGGCCCTTTTTTGGTGTTGCTGATTTTCATGGTATATTCATAAGGTGCTGACCAGTGTTACTACATAGTACCAACAGGAATGCAAAGTATGTAGAAACAACAAGAACTGTACTGTTAACAGTGGTTGTTTAGGCGATGTTTTAATGACAGTTAGACTTTATTGAGGCACACCTTGTTTCCAGGTAGAGCTCGGGATTTTTTGGGACTTACAGTGCTGTCCAGCATGTTTTGGAATGTAGCTTCAAACCATTTTTCAAATGCTGCATAATTACGTTTCCTAAAATAGCTGTGATAAAATGCAGTCTTTCTGGCTGTCATGTGATTCCCAAAGAATCAGAAAAGAATGGTCACTTCATAAGAAATGTTGCACACAGCTAATTGATTTTTGCACTGCATCAAGCATATTGCACAGGCAGCAACAGAAGTAAATAATGAGTAACCTCACCATGCAGTACTGTAAGATGAGTAACCTGTTCCCAAAAGAATTTGTCCAGCTGAGCACAGGTCAGTAGGTTCATCACACATAGAGAGCTCAAAGCTAAAGCAGATACTAGGGTTGGATTTTTGGATTATATAGCCTGCCATTGTCCCAGACTACTTGTGCTAACAAAGGATAAACTTCTTTTTTGGTAGTATCTCCGTTTCCCAATATATGAAATAGCCATTTAAATACATTTGCAGTGCAAGTCTGTACATGTTTATTCAGAAGTAAGCCATAGTGTCTTCAATGGGGTATTCCCCAGATAAATATGGATAGGATTGTAGCCTTAAAAAATCCAAAGAACCTTTAAATTTTTCACCAAAGCACCTTGAGCATTGCTTGATATAAAATGCTTCTCTGTAAAATTTGATATAGCCGGTTGATGCCATTTATAAGTACAATCACTTGCCGTCATTTGTTTACAGCTACTGCTTCAACTGTAGCAGATGTACAAAAAGAAACAAGCTACCACTGCAAATTTCAGTGTGAAAAAATATATATCCTAAGAGTTATCCCAAATCATTATCTTTTATCTTGCCTTCAGCATATATACTTGCCATTGTCTCAGTCCACCTGTTGAATTAAGCTTCTGACTATGATAGCACAAAAGCACTAGATTGTCTTTGTGGTGCTTTAAGCACCTTCTCTCATTTTATGGCTGCAAACCCATAGAACTGTTCTTCTGGAATTCATCCTAGGCTAGGAACCTGATGAAACATCACCAGCAGAAAGTTGCCATGGTGAAGATTAAGCATTTCATTAGCCACTGTAAGCCTATGAAGGGATTATTTTAAAATTTTAAGTACCCTAGAAATGCTGTGAAATGCAATTCAGTGTGCTGGTGTCTGTCCTCCCAAGTTGTGTCTGTATTAGCTGAACAAAAAAAAAGAGGTCTAAATGTGCATCTGCCTCTTCACTTTTAACAAAGTTTTAAAATGGCTCAGGTGTGGAAGGGAAATATTATGCTGGGGAGGGAACCATAGCTTGATGGTATAAAACAGACACCATATGCAGAAGGTCTCTGGGATTTCCACTTGAAAGGCGATTATTTAAAATATGGGGTTTTCAATTGGTAGGTTGGGACACAGTATTGAATCACAGCCTAATCCAAGGTGGGTTGTAGCAGCAGCACTAGCAATTTCCATATATATATATATATATATATATATATATATATATACGGGTTAAAAGTGAGTCACAGGTTTGGAAAGGTTGAAGATCACTGATGTAAGGAAGAGTCATTGTCAGAGTAGAGACAACAGTGGGCTAGGTGGACAAATCATCTGACCTACTATAAGGCAGATTTTTGTGTTCCTTTGTTACTGATCATTAGTAAATAATTGCTATGGCCCTTCTTGCAAGCATAGAGCATAATGTGATGGAAGTGCAGGGTTGGAGAGAGGGATTCACATTTTCCCCAGAAACAGCAAGTTGTGGTTTGTGACTTCTGGTTTATACACAAGCTTCACTTTTTGCCTGGTACTCAGCATTGTCAACTCTGATTAGCAGTCAAAAGCAGCACCAACCTACTGGTCAAAATATATCCAACACCCCCTTTTGCTTTTCTCTGCCAATCACTGTAGTGCTTGAGCATTTGAAAGACCAATGATAATATCTCTTCCCACATTTACTGTAAGGAAATTAGTTTGGGGGTGGTGTAGAAATACAGGCCAACTGAGGCAAATTTCAAATATGCTGCTCACTTACAAGGAAGGAACTGCTATTGAATCCTGTCGGAATTACCCAGAAATCCCCCCCCCCCCGATTATGTGTGTGGAACTTAGCAATGCTATTGCTTGTGTTTCATTGCCAAAGCTAAGAGCTATTTAGGGTTGATCCACACATTGAGAAGCATCTCATTGTACATCCTCCTGGGATTGTATGACTTCAAATGCAGGTGGAGGATTGCATGATGAAATGCTACCCTCAGGCTAAAACCTCATTCTGTAGACAGCTAGCATGTCAGGGAGAAGGGTTTTGATATTTTCTGATATTGTTTCTCTGCCTGGGATTTCTGAGTATTACCATTGATATATCACCAAATTCATATCAGCATTTTGTTAAGAATTGTGCTATTATTTGTGAACTAAAGTAAATCAGGATCAGAGGCTGTAAAGGAAGTGCTGGGACTCTTAAGAGGCCAGGGAGCTAAGAGAGCAAAGTCTACTTTCTACGTGATGAATTTCTTGCATTGTCACTACAGAGAACAACAGCCATGCTTAAGCAGTTATTTAGAGGATGTTATAAGAAATTTAAGGTCTCAAAGATAGAATAAATATTCATAAATGCACACATATCTATGGGTCTGAAATAGGATGGGAGGGCAATCCTGAAGCCATTTTAACTCTCCAAATGACCTCAAATATTCCTCTGCAGTAAGAGAGGCAAATGGGGAAAGCCTTCCCATTGTCTTTTTGCTTGCGAATCCTGTCTTTAAGGGTGCATTTGTGTATGAATAGGGTGAGCCTGTGACCTGGATTCAGGAACTAAAGTATTAACCATCACAGAAGAATGGCCAGACTTTCCAGGTAATGTAATCAGTGACAGGTATGCAGGTAGACAGGATTTCTGCTGTAGACTGCCTCCTTCTGTGATGTATGTATGATGTTTTAGGGGGGTGGTCTTGGGCTACAGGGTGGGCAATTTCAAAAGTCTATATAAGGGCTTGTGCACCATTGTTCAGGGTTCTCCTCCCTCCTGTGTGTGGTGAGTGGAGACCCTGTTGCAACAGTTCCTTTAATAAAGATCAGGCTTACTAGCCACTTTGCTTTTCAGTTTACTCTGGTTGGCCTCTGTTATTTCTCCTACCAATAGAGAACCCACTTAAGGACTCTATACGTGCTCTTGGATACACCATAAGGGAAAAGGAGCAGGTTTTCCTAAAACAAGGATACTTAAAACAAGCTGAGACGCTGTGAATAGATGGAATGTACCAAAGTATTTGGAAGAGACCCGCATGAACCTGCCCATGCAGTCAGATTAACAGCAGAAGCCCTGCAGTGTGTCCCTTGGCAGGAGGGAGCACAAGGCAGGGCTTTTTCAGTTGTAGCAGCGACCCATAGAGTGCCTTTTGCAGAGGAGTCTGCATAGCTCCTTTACAACTTCACAAGCAGTGAAGACTTGACTTTTCCAATAGGCATTTGGGCTGAGGTAAACTAATTCTGGATTGTTTTGCTCTCTCTGTATATATTTTGCTTCCAGCAAGTTGTTGTCTGAGTTCTGTTTTGTGGGGTTGGAGGAGGTTTTTGGGGGGTGGGGGTGACAGCTGCTTTTACTTTCTGATTATATTTTTTGTTGGTGTAGTTAGCCTCCTTGGGGGTCTTTCAGCTGAAAACTGGAGCAGAAATGTTTTAATGAATACATAAAGGGTGAAGTTTGTTGATGTGAAAAAGGCCAAAGCTTTTCAGAGCCACTGAAAAGTAACAATAATACATAAAAATGGAGCAGAAATATGAGTGAAATTAAAACACTTTATGAATGAACACATCAACTAAAAGGTGTGACAAAATTTGTCTAGCACCAAAAAGACATCATACCACTCCCCCTTGGAGGAGAGTGCCATGGTTTGGGGCACCAGAACTGAAAAGATCATCTCTTGGGTCTCCCTCCCATCTGTGTTCTGAAAGTGAGCATGGTCAAAGAAAGGCCTCCAAGGAACATCTTAATGGTTGGATATATTT